GTTGATCACGGATTGATATCAGTTAGAGAACCATTGAAAACCAGTATTGGAGTACTAGACAGCTGGTTGTTTCAACCTAGTTTGGGAATCATCGGCAGTACGCACCCACCATAAGGGTTCGAACCCAAGACCTTCAGGTTACCAGACAAGTTCGTATACCATATCAATCCGTGATCAACTCGTAAAAACAAAACTAACCCTAACAAACCAAACTATAAAAAATTAATCTGACGCTCGCTAGTGACTTGTTACAGGATGGAGCTTCCTGGAGTTCTAGTGAGGAGTCATGACCAGTGAGGTTCATCCAGATGTCACGTGTGAGGATGGATGTCCCACCGACGACAATGATTGGTGTCGCGCTAAATCACGAATCGGTAGAAGTTAGAATTCATGGACTGGTCAATGAATCGGGTCCCAATGGCTGGATGGTATAAGAGCTTGCCTAGTAACCGGAAGGTCGTGAGTTTGAACCCCACTGGGTGCGTTCTGCCGATGATTCCCAAACTAGGTTGAAACAGCTGGCTGTCCAGTACTCCCTGATTTTCAATGGTTCTCTAACTCATATCAATCCGTGATCAACTCTTATATATGTAAACTGTTTTGTTTCATTCTAATCACCTTCAGTTTTTCTAGTTAATTGACTGTAGCCAGGCATTCGCTTTTGTTCGAAATCTCAACCTACCTGAACAGCCTAAAATTGCTACTTAATTGACCCCAAATATTGGCTTCCAGTGTGTCGTATGACATGATAGCTTATCGGGCCTAGGATTTTCACTTACAATGTTCGTACATCGATCCGAACATCGGCCAGAACGCGGAAGGGCCTCGCTGTCGGTGTTTACTGCACTTCAGGGAACCGCTTACGAGATCCCAGTGAAATGTAAATATGTTCTCCATCTACAATTTCAAAAAAAACGAAGCATACCACGTGCATTTCTCCTGGGACATATTGACACTGGCATCTGACTTAGCTGGTGTCAGTGTCATACTAAGTGTTACAGTCAGAGCTGCCTTTCTCGACAATCGTTTATGAAATGTGACGCTAGGTTATACTGCATCGCCTTTTCGTCAACCCTACATATGCGATGAAGGACTGTAGTCCGGATGCTATTACTCATGAGCTCCACTAGCACCTGAGTGAACCACTGAAGCACGTGAGTCCAACGGATACCGTAGTGCTAACTGAAGACTTGAATATACATGTTAGGCAACTAAGCTCAGACAAAAGTCGTCTGGATGGTCATTGAGGTCTATATGGTTGCAGGTCAGAAAAAAAGCAACCTTCTTCTACAGCTGTGTGCAGATCATAACCTATTTCCCATCTGATTTTAGATGATCAATAACACTCGTATTATTATTAATTCTGAATGTACATTATCCCACAATTATTTTTATTCCAATATCTAATCGATTCCACACATGCATATAAATGAAGGAAAAAGTTGTGTGAGTGACTTGATATGATTATGAGCAGCAATAGTTTGTGCTCGAAACATGGTCATCAGTTAATATTACTGTGCAACACTGTGTGATTTATCAAAATAAAATCTTATCCATAATGGAGTTATACTCTACCATAGTGCCCAAGTTTCATACTTATATCACCAACAGTTCTCATCTCCAGTAACTGCTATAATCAAGTCATTTTATACAAATGACTTCTGATGAAGTTTCATTATTCGGTATAGCTAGAGATTTATACTATTCCAACTCGTCTTCAAATAATAATTTAGACCATAAAGACCATAACATGGTACTTAATCTTAAATGAAGCACTAGTCATATAAGGCTTCTAGCCATAATAATATATACATTGAAAATGTGTACGTGTAAAAAATCATCTGACTTTAAAATTTCTCATTAGATAATGCTTGTCTCAATTTCAGTTTTCCCTAGACTCTTTTGAAGTTCATTCTCATTTGTTCCCAATTAAGCGTTTCTATGTTAGACAATGAGTTGACATCAACAGTTCGAGAAACAATGAATGACTCGTGATACAAGTTGGAACCAAAAAATAAACCTGCAAAGCCACACTTGAAAACTAAGCGTTTTCTATGTTGTATTATTTACTGTTTCAACTTTGATCAACTGAACTAAATTTCATCATGAACTGACATTGGTTAGAGAACCATTAGAAAACCTGAGAGTACTGGACAGCTGTTCCGTCCTAGTTTGGGATTCTTCATCAGTACGCATCCCCCGGGATTCGAACCCAGGTCCTTCTAGTTACAAGGCGAGCTCGTATACCATGTGTAGCTTGTATGTACCTCGTATAGCTGGTAACCAGGTCCTGGGTTCGAATCCCGTTGGGTGCGTACTGATGAAGAGTCCCAAACTAGGACGAAACAGGTGTCCAGTACTCCTTACAGGTTTTCCAATGGTTCTCTAACCAATGGCAGCTCATGATGAAATCCTGTAACCAATCAAATCCCTACAAACTATGGAGCACTAGACAGGCGTTTCATCACCTAGTTTTTATACTCTTATACATTGAACACCCATAACTCTACCACTAGGACCTTCAGGTTAGCCCAGACAAGCTTGTCGACCATTCAGCCAATGACATAGAATCCAGTAACTCGTCGGTTGTGCCTTCTGTCTAGACGCGATATTTATACGCTGATCGCTAGACAGTGGCATCGGTGAGCAGTTGTCCTCTTACCCGAATTGTCAGGCCCCACTACTAGTTATGATTTCTCACTAGAACTTCACGTCCTTCAGTCACACTGACAGTTGAGGACTGCACACCGATAATTGAATATCGACCGTTTATAAGCATACAGAAGAATAGGTTTCTATTGTGAAATTGTTAGCAAAATTGATGAGAGTAGTGAAAATATTGGAGAGAATAGGGAATACGGAAAAAAATAATTAAGGAGAGAAAGATAAACGGAACGAGACATCATTATTAAGAAGACGAAATCATGGATGGTATTGAGCATAAACACTACTGCCTACAACAACATACACTCAATGACCAGTTCAACAGCCATTCTAATCTTCAGACAATACCAGCAATATCGCATTCCATATCTTATCATTAACCAAAGTCTAATAGTCCAATTTTATGTGACTACTCGTAAGATTAGGTAAACGTGATTCTTTTTGACATACAAGTGAAATTAGCATCGATATTTCAGTATAACAAAGTCTATCTGTAACTTAGACTTCTTTATATGTTAGCTCACAGACAACTATTTGATAAGGCACTTGGTACAGATTCAAGTAAAGTGACCCAATAAGTTGTGTTAGTCGAACGAAACCCTCAAACTGCTGTAACTAAGTTTTACAATCCATAGTCATTTTGCATATAATCGAATTAACAAGAAAAACGATTTTGCTTCAAAGTAGACGAAATTTAAGCGACGTGTGAAAAGATTACAATTTCTTGTCAACTGCTCATCCATACATGCATAACCTTAGCTTGCCTTATTCTCCCTGTTTGCCTTTTTATCCACCAGCATCTTTCTTTCCATATTTCAATCAATTTTCACTTGGTAATAAAAAGTTTAGAGGATGTAACGCATTGTGTATCGATCATATCTTCACACTTCGACAGATTCTAGAATATAGGCATTCCTACCGGCGTCCAACAGTCATTATATTTCTTGACCCAAAGATAGCATTCGATTCTGTCGACTGGGAGGTACTCTGGAGATGCTTGCCTGTAAAGGGAATCCTGAGAAAAAACACTGCACTGATCAACGCACTCCACTCGTATTCATACAGCCAGGTGAGGGCTTACGGCGAGCTGTCATCTGAACTGGTGACGACTAGTGGTGTCCGTCAAGGATGCCCATTATCTCCTTTCCTATTCAATTTCATCATAGACCTACTAATGAATTTAACCCTAACTCACTTCAGAGACCCACGGATTGACTTGCTACCAGGGAATAATCTCTTGACTTGGAATATGCAGACGATATAGTCCTTCTAGGCGAGGACTCTGACAAAATGCAGAGTCTTCTAAATACCTTTGAGCCGCAATCTACGAATGTTTGGGATGCGATTCGCTCACACCAAATGTAACATAATGTTACAGGACTGGACAGGACTCCTAGTTTAGAAATAGTGAGTCAAGTGGTTGGTGAAGCGTGTTGACCACTTCACTTATTTGAGAAGTTGCATCAGCCAGTGTCAACAGGCTGGTCAGTGACGAAATCTCAGAACGGATACAGAGGGCTAGTTTCGCATATACCAGTTTACGCCGTCTCTGGCTAGACGTGATATCCGACTCGTTATCCGCCAAAGGGCGGGTGTACTGCTCATCAGTCCGCTCCGTCCTCCTTTATGGCTGTGAAGCCTGGCGATTGAGAGTGGAAGACACGAAAAGCCTAGTCAGCTGCCTTTCATCATAGGTGTTCGCGTTATATCTCCCATGTGAAGTGGTATAATAAGGTAAGCAATAGTGAGGTTGGGCGTCGAGTTCTAGGTAAGAATGGGATCAATCACCGAGGCTTTGAAATTGCATCTACTGAGAGAGATGGTTAGGACAAGTGTTACGTATGCCTAGTCATCGACCTCTTCGACAACGGGCAATGTTAGCTGACATAGAGTCAGGCTGGAGAAGAGCTAGCGGCGGTCAAACGAAAACATGGCACCAGTCAATGAAATTCACAACAATCAGTTTAAGCCAACCCCGTAGTGAGGTGTAGACGTCCTGGTTGGGGTCCTCGGGACGGTAAAAACCAATGGTTGGAAACAATCGGAGACATGGCTCAAAATTGTTCTCAATGACTTGGACAGATGCATCCACTCATTGTGACTTATAATACCCAATAAAACTATATGGGTCTTCGATATTACTATTCCTATGTCTCATATACCTGTTTACTGTCTCTATTATGCATTTCTTCTACTTTCTTCTCTTACTTTGTGTGCTACAAGGAGGGAGTGTGGCGACTTGAACTGCCACACATCGGTGGAAAATCCTACGTCGCAAAACAGACAGACCACTACCAACCACCACTGTGCTTAGAACATTAAAGAATAACAAACATAATTTAGAAACCGTGCATTTGTTAAATCACTAAATATTTCATCAAAAATTACATTATGTGAGGATATAATGTTGTTTGCCAATAGTGAATTTATTTACACGCTAGGTTATCGTACACATGCATGAGCATAAATCTGTAATAGGTATGTATGTATGTGTGTATCTATATATATGTACATCGTATGATTAAAATAATCTATAGTTCAATTGTCAATGAGGTGGTCGTAAGCTAAGAGAAGATATATCACCTTTTAAAACAGCTTTCAATGCAGCTAGTGGATCTGCACTAATTGCGGGATTACATGAAATCGGTTCCGTTTTTATCATCACTGGGGAGGAAGTGTCAAATTCACATTCTGGTTCCGATTTCATCTGAATTTCTGTATCCGACTGTGATTGTGTTGGAGACGTACATGGAGAAAGACCAGGAATAGCGACTGTATTTGTTGTAAAATCATCACAAGTAAATGCATTTTCATCATCGCCTGGATCTTCTTTAATATCTTCTGAAGGAGAATTTTTATCTGCAGTATTATTATCAGAGGGATTAGGTGATTCGAATTTCTTATCCTGAAAAAAAGATACAAAAACAAACATTATATTTATGTAACAAAACAGCTGTTAACAATTGAATCTCTAAGTACAGTTCATAAGAGATAAAAACCCATTACCTACCTAGTTACATTTCAAAGTTCATAACAATGCTACAAGTTTTGCCCTGTAAATCCCCACAGAATAAACCAAGACGAAAATTACTACTTACAGATGCTATCTAACTGTTTGATGTGGGACTACTTATGAATGCAGGAAGAAAGGCATTACTTTATAGCAATTCTCTCAAAACTCTTGTTCGGAGATTGGCAGACTGGTTCTTAATTGAGTGCTTACATCAAGTCGTACTTCTTTAACCACAGGTGTATGTGTTCTATTTCCCGCGCTAATAGGTATAATGTCTGTCTTACTTACTTTACTTCGGCTATCTCCTACGGGAGGATGAGCCGGCTTCATGAACGTCTCGAATCATCGCTGCCCAGGCGCGGCAATTTGTAAGAGAGTTCATGAAGTTTCATGGGAATTTGGTACGAGTGATGTCCCCAGCATCGCTCGGCCTTTTGTTTGAGAGTGCAGCTCTAGCCTTTACACAACCAAGTGTGACCTACAAGGCAGTAGGAGTGGAGTAAGGAGTCCACTATCCATTGGCAGCCGATGACCGAAGTTCGGTTCATACGCCTTTTTGAATGGGGCCAGACATCCAGGACATCCAACAAGCCCTTTGTCCATACGTCTGCCGGTGAGCTCCAGTGAGCTTCATACGCCAATCGTTGGAGGTTTGGAATCAGGGTTTAGCCATCTCCCCTAGACTGTCATCCAATGGACAGTCAACCCGGTGGAGAGCGCCGGGCATCCGCTTTCGCCCTCTCACTTTGGTGAGAAACACCTCCGCCACGTGAAGGCAGTGAGTAGGACTTCCTCAGGAGAGGCTATGTAAGACGCCCGGTCATATGGGAGCATTTCAAGAGGTGTGCGGAGGGGTGGCCAACCCGCAGCGCAAGGCACCCACCCCCGACCATCCTGAGGCTGTTTGCGACATAGGATTTTCCACCGATGTTTGGCAGTTCAAGTCGCCACACTCCCTCCTTGTAGCACACAAAGCAAGAGAAGAAAGTAGAAGAAATGCATAATAGAGACAGTAAACAGGGATATGAGACAAAGAAATAGTAAGGTCGAAGAACAAAACAGTTTCATTGGAAATCATAAGTCACAAGAAACTAAGAACTCTGTCAACTCGAGCCATGGATCGGAGACACGCATACAAGACCCGAGTGTGGTCATTCACTTGACCTCACCCGGTCAACAAGGTGAATCTGCAAAATTCACTTGAAGGGTGTCAGAAGACCCCTCAGCTAGCTCGCGAGGACTCGCAGGTGTAGGGATAGCACTGAGTGTTAGAGCGGAAAAATCACTTCTTGACTGGATCCCAGTAGATAGTCGTATGTGTGCAGTCCGTCTGAATGGGTCCGTTAAAAGGAGGAAAGACGGCGCTACTCGTCGTTGCCTTTTCATAGTCTCCGCTTATGCCCCAACAGGCTGTAGTTCGGATGAACTAAAAGATGACTTCTACCTGAATCTGTCCAATTTGCTGCAAAAAGCAAAACGTTCAGATATAGTTGTTTTAGCAGGCGACTCCAATGCCCAAGTAGGGAAGTTGTGCCAGACTGAGAAGTATGTAGGTGGTACGTATGGAGTTCCCTGCCGACGAACTGACAACGGTGATCGTCTCCTACAGTTTCGCTCAGATAATCATCTGTTCCTAGTCAGCACTAACTTTAGGCACAAAGAGAGACATTGTGTAACCTGGCGACCTGCATGACCAAATCAACGCTGGACTCTGATAGACCACATAGCCATAGGGTATCGTTTGTGAGGGTCAGTAGAAGACTGCTGCTCCTTCTGGAACACGCGCGTAGACTCTGATCACGCTCTGGTCCGCGCACGTTTATGCTTACGGCTAAATGGACATAAGAAATTGACGGCAGCGAAACAGTTACGTCCCCAACTAGATCGAAACACTGAGTCGTCATTTAAGGAAGAAATAACGAAACGAGTTTCTGAGGTCGACAGCACGACTTTCCCTGAGTTAGCCTGGTATAACATACAGTTAGCTGTAGATACAACTGTAAAAGCTGTTAATAAGCCAAAACCTTAAGTTAGTAAAAGCCTTCGGATCTCCACCGCTTCATCCGAACTGATTGACGCAAGAATAGGTATAATATGGTGAATTGTATCGAGGTTAGGCATAGTGCTGAGTAAAGAGATGATAATCGATGAGGCTGTGCAGCTGCATCGATTGAGTTGGCTTGGACACATGTTATGCATGCTCAGCCACTCACCCTCCTAGTGACAGTTAAGGGTGGTCAAACCGAATCAATCAATGAAATCTAGGACTGCTGATCTGAACCATGAAATGAGGCCCTGAGTGCCTATGTTAGCTGACATAGGAAAAGAACCAGTGGTGATCAAACCAAAACACGACGTCAGTTAATGAAATCTACAACAGTTAGTTTAAGCCAATCAGTCAGCCATCCACGCAGGGAGGCATAGAATGCTGTCTGGTTGGGGTCCTCGGGATGGTAAGAACCGAATAGTGGGAGACAATTGGTGATATGGCTCGAAATCATTTTAATTGCGCAGATGCATTCACTCTTTGTGATTTATAATGTCTAATAAAATTCAATTGTTCTTCCATATTTCTGTTCTTTTTGCCCCACATTTCTGTTTATTATCTCTGCTTACACTCTTCTCTTGCTCTGTGTGCTACATGAAGTATGGCAATGCGAAGTGGTGCACATCTGGGGAAAGTTCTACGTTGAAACCAGTAGGTCAGTCAGTCAGTCTTCAGAATTCAGAAAAAATAGCTGGAGAATATTGGTAATACAGCTCAAAACTGTTCTTAAGAGTGCAGATGCATTTACTCTTTGTGATAGCCTATATCTATTAAACCCACATACTTAACATGTTACTTTTTTGTCTCGCCTGTGCTTATTATAATTCTACTGAATCTCTTTATCCTCTCTTTTCTCTACCTTTGTGTGCTAAATGGTGTGACAACTTGAACTGCTGTACTTTGCTCTACTGTGCAGTCGTTTAAGTTGAAACTTAATCCGTTAATAACTATCTAACCCTCTTCCGCAACTTATCGACGTCAGTTTAAATACAGAAGAATTAAATCATCTGGGATGAATGTTTCTGACGGCCAAAAGCTTCCCTTTGTGTTTTGTTTACAATGACTGAACCAGTAGGACGGCTAAACCTACGCTGTAGCTAGCGCTTGGGGCTTTTATCTCTGACGAAATAAAAGTAGTTAAATGAAACGACAGGATAGCCAATTTATGCAAGTGGTTACCCCCCCCCCCCCTCTATATGCTACATTTGTAAGAAAAAATACCGTGTTCACATAACTCTACTAAGACGCATATAATACTGATGTGCTGGTAATAGGAAACAGTGTCTGCCTTTGAAGCACTTTTAGCTTACAAAACACAGACTGAGAAATATCGAAACATAAAACAGGATAGCTTTTATACAGTTTCTTAAGAAACTGCATCTCTCAGTCTAAGGTATATACAGGCGTACAGCTAAGCAGGTTAATGGTAATAACCAGTTGGTCAGGCAGAAAATAGTGAAGCGCGATTCAAAGCTGTCTGAGAGCTGAAAGCTTTAACTAGTGAGCTACTGCTCATTGATCCAGGCGCTCGATTTCCAGTTGATACGTTACGGGTTGCAGCTTCGCTCCACCTACCGAGATTTAAGCAGTCAGGTAGTATCACTAACTCTGACACAATGTGCGTGGCTCATTGCGAACTCTGCACGTAATTGCAAATATAGCCGAGGCATTCAAACACACGTCTGAACTGGGACAAAGTAACTACAGCAAATGTGAATAGCCTAGTAGCATGTACTGTACCTTCAACTTACTGTGTAAAATTTGAGCACTGTGGTAGTAAGTAATTCCATACTAGTTTTTTTATTAGATATAATACACAGTGAAATAGTATTATCTACTGGATGACACAGTTTCGAACAAAATTTATTGTTCATAATCATATCAATTGTAATCACACGACTTTGAAACTTGAGTTTTATAGCTTCCTTTGTTCTCCCCTATTTGTCGTAGGGGTAGTAGAATTTTCCAGATATCTGGGACAGGTGTTGAATCACTCTTATTACACGTGTTTGCAGTTGATTCGATAAACAAAACTTCCGTTATCAATCTCTACCTCCATCCTGTCTCATTCGATTTCCAGGCTGTCATCTTACCCCATCCTGTCGTATGGTTGCGTATGATTGCATATAGCGCTTATAGCTGAACTATTCTCGAGTTTAAAAGCTTATCTTGTATGCCTCACTTCCTGTTTTAGATTTTCCTTGGTACTACTTAGTTTTTGTGCCCTATTACTTAAGCATTTTACCGATCCTATCTTCACTGATATAGGATGGGATGATAGGAAGTTCAAATATCTGTTTAAATGTGTGGGTTTCCTGTAAACACTAGTGTTTAACTACCCATCTTTCCTTTTTACGCTACAATCTAACATTGGAAGTTCCCCTTCCTAACTTTCCAATTCATAAATGAATTGAGTTGCCTTCACCTTTGAGTTAATGTGTTCGAAAAATCTATCTATATCTTGTGTTCTAAGTACAATGAATGTGTCATCTACATACCTCCACCATCGAAAGGAGCCTATGAAGCTGTTTTGGTCATTGGAAACCATGGAAACGCAGCTCAACTGCTCGATTGTGAATGAGACTTCAAGTCAAATTCTCGAAGAGGCTTTACTAAAAACAACCAGCTGCTTCTGTGTGGGCGCCTGTGGCAATAAACTTGACTTCACACAAACTATGGCTTTATGTATGGCGCATCTCACGGTGTCCATAATGTATCAGGTTTTTGCTTTTAATAATATTAATAATAATAACAATAATGATAGTAATAATAAAGAGAACATTCTAGTAAACGTTGATTGACAAACAATCATCGAATTAGTTTTAACTTACATCTTTAACTAGGAATTCTTTTCCTGCATCTTCTTGACAAATAGGATGATAAACCTTATCATCTACTCGAATAGCATCTTGGAGCATCCATTCTTCCTCTTCGTGATCCCAAACTACTTCAAAGTTCTCGTAGCATACAGCACACACCTTCAGTTACAAAAAGACAGATATTAGTTGAACTATTAAAAATCAAAAACTCAATGTTTGGAGGGTATTGCTTGACATCCTTTAAGAAACTCCGGTCAGACCAACTTATTATTCTTATTCTTTACTAATGGAATATATATGGCACATCTCTAGTATACTATATTCTCTAAGGTCATTTTCACCTGGCTACACAACAACAGTCTACAAGCTTTCATTTTCTCTAGAGGTCATATCCGTCACATCTACCTCAGATGCTCAAATCGTCGCCTCCTTCCTATTCGGATTCCACCCACAGACCTAGTGTGTGATACAACTCAGAAGTTACCTCAGAGTATGCCCAATACATTTTCATTTCTTTTTGCATAAGTGGAGGGCTATACAGGTTGTCCGCTATTTCGCTCCACTGCAAGACTTTCCTGCTGGTTACTTAATCTCTTTCTTGTCTTCAGTACCCAGCTGGTGAAGGCATCTATTGACGAAAGTCTGTAATTTGATGGAAACGCAACGCACCAGGTTTCTGAACCAAACAGAAGTACTAACTTGATTATCAATTTACCACTTTGGCCGAATGTCGTTTTTAAGTTTACCTTCCAATTTCATCATATCCTACTGCGGAATTGCCGATAACAGCGTTCAGTCAATTATTGAAAGTCGCTTTAGCTACGTCCCACTGTGCGACACTGATATAGGCTATGTGTAGAAAAAATCCTTGACTCCTTATCGTAATTGTTTTGATTAATACGAATCCCTAAGAACAATAACAGTGCTAACACACACTAGTGGTAGATAGTAAAAATGTCAAGATGAAAAAAAGAAGACGGCAGATGTCAACCTCTTCAACAAATGATACTACAGGTTTTAAAATGATCACACACACGACCTTACAAACAACTCGTCACTGCTGGTAAAATCTATTCATTATAATCAAAGACATTTGTTTACCTAAGTAAGAAGACGACAGGATCTTTCTGTTAACTTTTTACGAATTACCTTCTAGAAGTTATACGCAACGGAACTAGATTACAACAAACTTGCAATTCAGATGTCACGTTCTAGCTCGATTAATAGCCTCTGCTCTGACAGTTATCACATCACAATCACCCAACAAACTATGGTGGTTGTGACGAATGTTACTGATGGTCCCGCCATACCAGGAAAATTGGCTGACTGTGTAAAGGTTAAACTTAGAGCAGTTACCACTACAGGGTAAGCTGCTACCTCTATGTTGGAGTCCTCTTCACCGAACACCTTGCTTTGCTTCCTCAAATGTTATTTTTCCACCAAAGATTTCAGTCATGAGAACAGCGTTCTTAGTCACTTCAAACCACGCTGTTTTATCGTTAAAAAGGTATCACCGCTCAAAACGGACATCTCAGACCCCAGGTGTATGTTGTTGTTCTGACGCGCAAAATGCAAACTTAGCTACTGAATTAAACCTACCAGACCAGCGAGGTGTATCTACAAAATCAAACCTACAATATATCAGATTCGTGTCAGCTTTCTGGTGTAAGGGTAGCATTGAACTCTAGTAAAGAAAGCTCATTACAACCTAATAGTCATCTCTGCGTTGTCCCATCTAATGAACCTTTTAGGATAAGGTAGCTCCATAATATCTGTGTAATTGTCCACTGACTGCAGTCCGGATTAAGCAAAGGATGAGTCCTAATCTTAATATTAAACTAAACATTTACCCAAGCACAACACCAATACCCACCCTAAGGAAGCCTGGTACTACATCAAAGTTTCTGTATGAACAATAGTTACGAGTGTTGATTAATCTCAGTTGACGATTGTTAACATACAGCCGAAATTTCCATGGCTCTACACAAACTAACCGAAGCAAGGAGACCTATCACAGAAGAATCCAAATATGACGACAAGCATAAGTTACTCAAGCATTAGTTGCCTGATAGTCTACGCAACAATGGAATGAAGTGGTGGCAGGTAGGATCGAAATAAACGTCGAGCAGTAGGGTGCAGCATTTAAACGAGAGGTTCAACTAGCTTAAAGCTACTCACGATCAAATCTCGGGCTAAATGTTATACAGATATCTGTTCTACGGCTGCAGCGAAGCCTGCGAGAGTCGTCTCTGTTCTCAAACAAGAAAAGATCACAGGACGTATTCGCGGTAAACTATAATTGAGTGGATTGAAAGATTAAAAAAAGAATCCAAGCTAGTTCCACTACAGAAACACACATTGCTACTTACCTCACGTTATAAGAAAAAGAATCCTGGCGACATGCAGGTACAGATCAGGCTGTTTAGTATGGTGTATAAGACTTAAAGCATGCACACGAATGCATACGAAAAGCAGGGGGAACACGGAAGAAACACACCCAGTTCCTAGGATCTGATGTGATTTCACTGATCAACTTTACCATTATATAAATCAACGAACACAAGTACTTTCACCGCTTTTCTACACTTCAAGACAGTATTATAATACCCTCTTGATCGACAAATCGGTGCAATATTTGGATTTAAAGCGATTGTCAAGAAACTGCATTGGGGCACTCTACTTCAACTTGTGCAAACGTGTTAAAGCTAACACTGTTACCTAAAGCAACGACAACAAATAACCTCAACCGGGGATACACCTCCCTATCAATCATTTAATTTCATTATGGATGCCCCGATGAATGTGACCCTTGCGAAATTAGATTTTCTGGGGTTTGACATACTACCAGGTAAAACGCAGAATACGATCCTTTTGGAAAGAGACGCTAACACCTTGGTCAATACGCTAACTACATTTCACAGGTGCTGTGTCATTTCCAAACGGAAGATGAAGTCGCAGGACTGACCCTCACCTATTACCTATGAAAATTCTCACATCTACAACTCAAGTACAGATCTCCAAGCAGTGTACGGATACAAGTACTATTAGGAACAGTTTGTTCATGTACACAGTTTTCAATTCTTTATCAGGATCCAGTTAGCTTACGAAGATTCTCTTTGGTAATAGTGACATCCCGTTAGTAAGATGTTTTTTTCAACTATTACACTCAAAACACTGGTTATACCTTACGAAAGAAACCTTCCTCAATAGAATTCTGGCTAATAACATAAAGTCAGTCTGTGTGAGGTAAATTTGCTTGCACTTCACAGCTCCTTAACTAAGTTGATGGTTGAACAACAGTATAAATGAAACTACTGATATCGAGTCGATATTGAGTCTCAGCAATAGGGCTGTGACCATTCGCACACCTAATTCCAGCAATAAACCGTAAAAACTTCAGTCAGAAAAGCACTTGCATTAAAGCATTTTTCCTGAGTGAATTTAAGTAGCAGTAGGTGGTAATACGCTACAAGTGTATTGCTAACCACTGGCAAATATCAATAAATTTCTCTAACACTTAGAAAGACTGAATGATAAAAGTCTTTAATATGGCTTATCGAACTTCCATTACCACAGCAAGCAGAAGAATGTTAATCAACAACGAGGCTACTAGTTTATATTAACTAACAAAAGAGCCGCATTCCACAGTTAGACGGAAAATGTCAATGTGTGAGCCTCCCAAGCACTAATCAATCGTTGATCTGAATAAGGATATGTAGATATCGTGAAAGGTATTCCTTACAAAAATGTCCTTCAAATTAACTGTTCGCTCAAAAGGTCCTAGACTCTACCTTGTACCTTTCTTTACTTGCGAGAAATAGCGATTTAGACAAGGGTGCACATCAGTGTGCTTAACAGACATTCATATTGATGATTTGTATTATATCGTCGGAGTGGCTTAATAATACCAAATTTTATTATCCACTGCAAACAATGTCTCGTAACCTCTCAGTACGAATGAATTGTATCATAACAGAATTCACCAATACGGCACATGAACAAGTTTATAGCAACCTAGCTCAAACAAAACTTTGAATGTCCAACAACAACAATATTCAGGACTTGAAGCAGGCTGCTGACACATTGATGTTGCTTTTAAACACACGGGCTACTCAACAAAAGCTTAAATTTACCTAAAGATCTATGAACGGTATGGATAACTCAAGTACAGAAGTAAACCAGAGGAATATGCTATATGCCAATGCCTCTCTAGTCTCCATGGAGAAAAGTTATGTAGTTTTCAGAGAAGAAAATACCGGTGTTTATTTCCCCTAATTTTGTACGGATGATAAGAACGACAAGAACCACCTGATCTCGTTCTTATCACCTTTCCAACAATAGAACTAGTCTTACCGGTACGTCTTGTTACTGATATTTCGAATACTCAGAGCTGCAGTCATGAAAAATATAGCGCTCGCCAAATGGAATATTCTTTCAAAAACTGAAAGTTCACGCCGTCTGAAATATCTTCTAAGGCCGATTAACACTATCAGAACCCAGACGAGAGACTTGTTTTTATCAACAAAAGACTCGAAATGCGAAAATTTGGGAGCTATAAATTTGAAAAAATGTACAAATAAAACCACAGACAAGCTAGTGGGACAGAAAATATACCGCGAATCCCGACACTGCGAGCAATAAGCTCAGACAACTTTCCTTAGTACCCACTAACCTTGGTTGGGTCTGCCCAGGGACTTCATATCAGTCAGTATTTCGAAACACTGATAAACACTCCGTTGACTTATTTTATCCTAAATCACAATTTCCTGTGGTTTACGTCTTCTAACAAAGTTTCCGAGAGCATTAAAACACCATGTGAAAACTTGTCGTAGTCTGCAGGTATGCTTCTTGCATCCCACTTTATGTGGAGGTGTATCACGAACACACTTCAAAAGCTACCAACATTTAAAGCAAAGCGACACGTGTGTGCAATACAAGCCATCGAAAGTGCCTTTCATTTCTTAAGAAACGCCTGATGAGTCCTGACTGACGATGTCAGCAAGAAACAGAACTCAACAAGCGTGAAACAAATACATGAAATCAACATTATGTAGAAACGTGTTTCAAGTAAGTAACCTTATTTATTTTACGTTTTATAGTTGCTACCTAAGATAGCTTACAACTTGAATGAACATGATTTATCGGTCAACAATAGGTCATTGGAACATTAGGTGGTATAATGAAGACAGTATGAAAACGTAAACACCTCAGATATCGGATAAAATTAGGATCTCATCGATTTATGAGTTTCGTAATACAAAAGATGAAGTAATGAGAGCTGGCCAAATCCTAATAAAATGCATGAAAGTCAGCCACAAAATGAGTGACGAATTCCAATAGTTGGTTCGTTTCTGAGTCTTACCCTCATCAGGGAGGGAAAAACCTCTTGGCGAATACACAGCCTAAGGCGATTCTGCCGAAAATGTGACAAATAACCGTGAGGACCTTTTCAAGACGCTGTTAGTCGCTATCAGTCAAACGAATGAAACCATAAGTTATTGATTTCGCTGAAACCTTTTCAACTAGTCGAATAAAGAAGTATCATACAGAAGACCATCACGGACGATAAAAAAACTTATAAGGCTGACATCCTCTGTCCTGCATTTCCCGATGGACTAGTCATCAATATCCAAGTGAAGGCTGTCATATGTGAACTTTCCCGCTTTGCGGTGAAAGCTATTCAGGGAGAACATCTAGACATCGTATTCTGCCTAACCTTCCGAATGAATCAAAAAATACTCAAAAGTATGGCAGTTTTAAGCGAATAACACCGGTTTGTGCATTCAATGGTTTCTTTTACCACTGTCGCTCTTTTCACCAACCTTAGTAAGCGAGCCGGCTATGTCTACTTCATCTTCTGTATTGCGAAACTCATTAATTTATGAACTTTTGACCTGGCTCATTGATTGAGATAATAGCGTAACTATATTGTCTTCACTACTCAAATCACCTCCAGTATCAGCCACTTTATCACTGGTATTGCTACCGTTGCCAATGCCTGTATAACCCATATTTGTCACTGAACCGCACGCCACTGTTGGTTAAAATCTACGTGAATCGCAAAAATGTTAATCAAGCTATAAGCAAGTGAAAGTGATTTAAAGCGAGGTATCAGCACAATACAGACGAAACTGCATAAATTGTCGCCAAAATAACACCAAATCCTCCTTTTGTTTATGTCTAGTTTCTTTTCCTAAACCTACATTCTGAAGGCGCCCCTCAACTGAAGCAGGAAAACTCTTATAATACTACATCCAACAGCCAACTCGAGGCCACTACTTACTGGAAAAAGTGAACTTAATCATTAGGAATAATACTCAATAGAAATTTTAAAAAGTTTGAGAATAATGGCATAACTTACATTTCTGGAGGGATCTGCGAATGCAGCGCACTTGTACTCTTGCAAATTGTGAATTGGACTTCCAGGTTCAAATTGAGGAGCACCTTCTCGTGTCATGTCTGTGATTAACCAATACTGCAAAGGCTGATAGAAATTACGACTCCGTCTTTCTTGTCCATAAGTTGAATTCTTCACATAGTGATAGTCAAGGTGCTTGGCGAATTCTGGTGACAAATCACTGTGGAAACGTAGACCACACTGACCGCATTGATGACCATTATAAAGTGCATCTATCTCCACGTTGTAGGGGTTTTTGAAACGCTCCCAACTGTAACTTCCTAGTTCAGGAGGTTCTGCCTTCTTAACGGGCTCTGTGGTCTGCACTATGCCAGCCTTCACTAATTTCTGGAACAACTCATGAACATCAATTGTAGGTTGGGTAGTTTGGTTCGACGAACTTTCGTCCCTGGTTGGGACAGGATTTGTGGTCGTATCAGAACTAACTGCGGCAGGTTGTGGGGCGTTCACACTATTCAATTGGTTACTATTATTATTGCTCAATTGGTTGTTTGTATTGGCTGTTTCCGCTGTATTCGGTGATCGTCGTGTACCGTTCCCCATAGGTCTGTTGTTAAACTGGACGCGATTTCTTTGACTGACACCGTTCTCAGCCAAACGTGTAAGTTCTTTAATAGGATTAAGTGGCGCCATAAATAAGTTTCGAGGTGAACCAAACAAGCCTTGACCTGCCCATTTGAGCAAGCGAGGAGGAATGGGTGGTAAAACATTAACATTCTTTGGTACATTCCCAATGAACTTCACTCCAACCGAATGGAGTCCAACATTTATAAAAGTCAAATGGGACGTCGTAGGGACAGTATGTGGACGTCCATCGATGACAAGTTCGTGGCCCGGACCGCCCAAGTATGCCACGTACGATCTAGGTCCGATGGCAACTCTAGTGAAGCCTGTTCCAGGGATATTGAAACACCGACCATCAATCACAACTGTAGCAAATTCACAGCGAAACCTTACAGCATGGATGCGTTCTCCAATTGCTATTAGCGGTTGTACTCTGTCCAATAAGAGTGTGAACTGCTGTCCATCAATAGTTATTCGTCTGGGCGGCTTGGGGTGACTAACAAGACTGAGCATACGGGGATCAACACCAATATTCACCATGTCCGGGAAACCATTGATCTCAACACTCCATACAGGACCTCGAATCGGAGGACCACGGTGATGTGGTATTACAGGTTGGTATGACGACGGGGTTATAGGTGGTCTGTCTCTGGGAATATCTGACATGTACGGATCTATTGGCACTCGAGGTGGTGGTAGGTGGTCCTTCATGGGAGGGAAATTAACCATCTTAGGGTTGCGTGGTGGAATATTTTCTGAAGCTAAGGGTTCCCCATGAGGTGCGACGTCGGTGCTAACGTTACTGATTACCTTCCCTGCAGAGAGGTCATTCGGTGGTAGGCAGTCATTTGGTGGTTTATCAAATCTAGGGACGGGTGGGATCATCGGAGCAGGCTCAACAGCCTGTCTGGGAACTGGTGGGTCTATCGGTAACTTCGATAGTCTACCAGCATCTGCGTTATTTGTAGTGGTACTAGGTGTGGGTTCTGTAAGTGCGAATCTCATATCAACATCTTTTGTATCACGCCGAGAACAAACCTCGCTGTGCTTGCCAATGTAATCCGACCAAGCTGATGATTTTGCAGGAGAGGGTGTAAGCATGTTCTGAGAACGCATATCACGGTCCTCACCGCCAAACAGCATAACCTTCTTTGGTAACTCACTGGATGCTGCCTGTTTACCTTGTTTTCGAGCGATAGACTCCATTTTTTGATCACCAGAACGATCAATAAGGAACTCTTCTGTGCAAACAGTGGATTCCTTAGGAGACGACTTTCTTTTCCTGTTAAGTCGTGGATCACGTGACGCCGAAATGACTGTATTAGGTGCAGGCTGAGCTGACTTCTCTTCTGATTTCACGACTGGGGTTTCAGGTTTGTTTTGGATCTTCGGAACACTGGGAAGTGATCTGAACGCAGTCTTGGCCTCAGGAGCAGTGGCAAGTAGAGGCCATGCTGGATCGTGTTCACGAACTCGTATATCTAGTTCGTACATTCTAGAGTTAGGAAATATGTCCTTCCACGTTGTCCGCAAATTGTATAGCTTCAACCTTCCCTTTTCATCCCGTATCTAAACAAACTGCATTAACGCAAGCAACAGGTGAAACTTACCGATTGAAACGAATGTACAAACGCGTCAACAATGTTAGCAGTGTACAGTTTCCTGTAGGGAATGCCTACATTCTTAACTATAGAGTCGATTACGTACAAGCCAAGCAACTTCAATCCTGCCGGTATCTGTAATGAAAGGTGAACTAAATTCTAGGATCATCTATTTTCTTTGCATATCTAGAACGGAACCCGAAAATGTCTCACTAGGCTCGGTACACGACTATCTATAAATACACCTCATACGAACGCTAGATTAAGCGCTTAAGCAATTCATTTATCGCTTCGCCCAAACCCAGCACCCATATGTTACAAAAAGGTCAAAACTCACAAAAAATTTTATTAGGTTTATTTTCATCTGTGCTAATATGCACAGGACAAACATCGAATCGGAAACCCAGTAACTCACCATTTGTACATGTTTCAGGGTTAGTTCAACAATGTTATCAGCAACTCCTACAGCATCTTTGTGGTCCCGAGCAAAGATAGTGAGTGCATTTATCCTATATTTATCGTTATCCTTGAGACTTTCCAAATCCTTTTTAAATGCTGACAAGAGATCTGCAGTCGTCGACATCGACAAGGCAACACGACTGACCCGGAACAACGAAAACGAAACAGTCGGCGGAGAGCGCGGCCAACGGTGAAGGCCACAGAAGCGGTTAAAACAAAACGGAATGTGGACAATAGATACTGACGTTTTGGGGCCATTTTCCGTTCTGATAAAGTGTGAATGACAATTCGGCCGTATGTTGAGACAAAATTAGGGGAAATAAACGCCGGTATTTTCTTCTCTGAAAACTACATAACTTTTCTCCATGGAGACTAGAGAGGCATTGGCATATAGCATATTCCTCTGGTTTACTTCTGTACTTGAGTTATCCATACCGTTCATAGATCTTTAGGTAAATTTAAGCTTTTGTTGAGTAGCCCGTGTGTTTAAAAGCAACATCAATGTGTCAGCAGCCTGCTTCAAGTCCTGAATATTGTTGTTGTTGGACATTCAAAGTTTTGTTTGAGCAAGGTTGCCTTGAATTTGCTAATGTCCCTGTAGCGGTTAATAAATTCCCGATATCATTGACCACAGCAATCATCACTGAACATTGGATGCTGACCCTTGCTGTTTGAGCCAACTTGTTTAGCTCATGGCTTTCAGTCAAGTAACCACGCCATATGTTACTCCGTCGGGTCGCGTGCGTGCACGATCACTAGTCAGTTTAACAATCAACTCGCAATCCGTTTCGGTTCCGAAATATATCTCTTAATTTAGGCAACCAATTCACTTGTTTTGCTTTGCCTTTGGTCCACGAGAAACGAATACAATAGAAGTTGTTGGCATAAGGTCTTGCGTTAGAATACTCCGTACAATTAGCGAACGTCAATAACGTCAGCATCTTAACTGGTGAGCCCAACCACGAACTTCGATAAATTGGCAGATAAACTGGGTGAGCTCCTTCCTTTTCGTATTTGTTTTTGTACTACATTGTAATCGACATACATTTCGTCATGAGTGATCCTTGTCCCTACGTCATTCGAATACGCTTAACTGCCAAAACCATTCACATCGTACCATATTGGCCTGATGATGCAGAAACGTGGTTTCAGATAGCTGAGCCTGATTTTCGAGAGCATGGGATAACCGACCAACGTTCACAGTTCCTTGTAGCTATTCACTCCCTACCGCAGGAATTCAGCACAATAGTAACTATACAGATGTCGACTCAAGAAAAACTCGTACGAGTTGCTCGAAATATCCCTCATCAGGAGAAAAGTTCTCAAGGATCGACAGCGTTTCGACGAAATATTCCGTAACATTGAGTTAGGGGATCAGTCAGCCGTGAGCATTCTAACAAGAATGAGAGAGGTTACTGGCCAAAGTCAGTCCGATGAAGGATTTTTCAGAGAAATGTTCTTATCCAAACTCCAACTATCGATGTCCACAAATCACTACAACACACCTCACGCTGTACATGGAAGACATTCAGACACAATTTGTAATAACCAACGCGATAAAACAGAACACAGACTGGCGACTCGAGAATTCTTTATTCTTACGCCATTATGTAACAAACAATAAGGCCATTACACACAAAATCTAAGAAAAAATGTTATAACAAAACATCAGTATAATACCTCTGATAGTTTTCTGTACTCCACCGAACAGCGAAGGATGAGAGGATGACTGCAATATCAATGACTCCCACGAAAAATATGGAGGAGTTGAGTTTGAGCGAACAACCATGAATTGATCGTTCAATCCTCAACTTCACTGACACTCCCCAGCAAAAGAAGGATCCATCCCCTTTTTCCATCACGACCAATACACGTTGACTTTGATGTCATTGCGAGAACCTGGGTCACACGGACAAAGCTGAAATGGAAAACAAACAGCAAAGCTAACACACCACAGACATACCCACAGCACAATCACACTCATCGACGACGACCTACGCCTTCCAGTTAAAGGCATCCTCTTGACATCTTGCAACACAATCGCCACTCGCCAGAATGACTCCTGCAGAAAGCAACGTGACCATAGCAGCACCTCATGATGCTCTTCTCACATCCTCCTACCCATTCACTACCAATTACCACTGCGATCGCTTGTCACTCATTCTACCTTAGTTCTAGTAACGGTGACGTATGCAAGCCTCAGCCGTCTACACTCTCGCTCCCCGGTGTGTGTGACCAGAGCTAATCCGTATCTCCGTGTACATGTCATTCTCAGCACTAGCCTCCCCGGCGTACACGACCCATCCGCTGTCTTTAACATCAATCAATTCATTCACGGATGTATAAGACTCGAAACAAATTCAGAAGCACGACGAAAATTTTAACGAAGTTATGCAGAACAACCAGGTACGAAAACAACAAGTAAACACAGTGAATCCAAAAACACCAATTGATATGACACACCACACGTATGTACAAACAGTACACGTAACCACGCATATCATGTCTTGATGGAATTCCTTTGAAGAATTGCAGGACTTGCACCAGTAGGCATGCAACCTTTCTCGGGTTGACGATTGTAATTTGAAGAATGTCCGGACACAAACAAGATTAACCAACAATTACATTAATTGGAACCCACTCAATTGCTTAACACAAACATATGTACAGTCAATACATCAAATGTTGTGGATTCTAGCTTGACGAATCACCCTTGAAGAATTGTAGGACTTACAGCAGTGCGCCTACATTCCTTCTCAGGTTGACGATCCAAGTGGAAAGACTTCCAGACACCAACAAAATTAACCAACTAGTAGATGAAAGGTGACACGAACTCAGTATATACAACATGAACGTATGTACAAAATCACACACCAAGTATGATGAAATGCGCTTCGACGTACTACTCTTGAAGAATTGTAGGACTTACAGCAGTGCGCCTACAACCCTTCTTAGGTTGACATCTTAAGATGGAAAGTCGTCGCAGAGTTCACTTGGTGACGTCCATCTATCATCTCTATCCTCAACTTTGAATGGTAACACGCCCATGTCATTGTATCGTAGTATATAAATGACCAACAAACACACGACGTATCTAACCAACCAAGCGTAGGCACAGAGTAATTTACACCAAAGATAATAGCATTCAAATGGTAATTTGAAACGTGAAATGCCTTTATTCACGCAAGTCAGTTTAACAGTTACCCTCTCATACACAGTTGGTTTATCTTCCCTAAACTGACCATTGGTATTCGTCCTTTCAAACGGACTGATACTGGCATAGTCATAGCATAAGACACGTGAGTTCATGCACGTCCCTTTCATTGTGGATGACAACACCATTGACGACTGATTGATACCAGTTAATGAACTTAGCGGTGGTTCAGAAGCCGTGGTTGTTCGGCTTTTAGAAGGTTGTCTAACTGCAAGATTACCACCACTGCTGCCTTTTATTATTAGCTCCGTTTCAGCTTTAACATCTGTTGATAGGTGGGCTACACGCTGATCATTTACACTGACGGTCTCACGAGTATTCATACCTTCTGCAACTAAATCTGCCTTTAATTCTACTTCACGTTCAAGTTGTACAGGACCTTTGTTCAACTCAGTAGAAGTAGGCATTCCTCTCATCTCGTCATGATCAGCCAAATGAAGATGTGCACTATCATGACCATTGTCACAAATATCCACTTTACCTCCGTTTGTAAGATCGACTTCATCATTTTCAAACTCTCTAATAACAGCAGTAGACAATTTGGGTTCTTCCTCATAAATCCTTAAAGGTTTGATACCTTTACTCTGGTTAGTATTACCTTGAAAGCTTGTGGAGTCAGAACTAGACTCTGAAACTGTAGCTCTCCTCTCCTGCAAAACCTGTTGTGTAGTCTGTGACACTCTTTTCAACAGTGGCTTACTGGTAGCAACTACAGGCTTCCTCACTGCACTATTATCGTCACACAATTCGTAGTCAGACCTTGATGACGCTGAGTTCACATTTAGCTTACCGCTAAACTTGCTCACTGATTGACAGTTCACCTTTGGATGCACTTCTTGCAAACGTGTAGAACACAACTGTGTTTGACTCGCAACATGCAACCTATCTGTTGGGGACATCCCACGAAAGCTGTTACCTTCACTAAGTTTATATGGATTACCAGACGCCATAAGGCTTTCTCGACGTCCACTTCTCTGGACCTTTTCTTCATAAATGATTGCGTTTTGCTATCAGACTGCTCTATTCTAGGTGTGGGATGCAATATACTGGAAAACTTGCTCATAGATTTATTGACACTATCTTTTGCCAGTTTCAGAATATCACCGAACTTCGGCTCAATACCTTCATCCTCTATACGAGAGCTTATCTTCACCCACTTCCTTTGCAGTCGAGTAGGTAGGCGTCTCGCTATAACCTCTAGCACGGAACTCGAGTTCAGACGGCTCATGCAATTCATCGAAATCAACGTATTCTTGTAAGTCATTCTTGTAAGTTATTAGCTAAATTCAGTTCGATGAAGAACTATTCAGAGAACTGTACTTATCCAAACTGCCACAGTCAGTACAGACTGTGCTGGTGACACTTCAGGGTGTTATAATAAATGACTTCGCTGTTTCTGCAGATAAAATTCTGGAAATAACAAAATGGCCAGTTACTGAAATATGCTCAGTTGCCAAACAGACTTTGACTAAGAATACAGCAGTGACGGAGCTATGCAGCTCCATCCAGCAGATGCTTAGGTTAAACATGCCTTGTGATTCCTGCTACCGTCGTCGGAAATCCCCCAACGGCGAAACTCACGTGGTTTATCTAAGTCCAAGCCACTTTTAGTGAAAAACCTTGACTGGTGCTAGTATCGCAACACCCATGACCCAGAAGTGAAATGTTGCCGTTAACCTTGTTATTTCGGCAATGTCTCAAAGTCTGTGGGAAACTAACCCGCCGGCAAGCGTTAGCGGCAACCATCGCCGGTGGCACTAGCCGCATACTTTACATGCATGATGTGATCAGCCAGACTATATATTTAATCGACACAGGCGCCGAAGCCAGTGTCCTTCATGCTACAGCGGCAGATCGACAGAATGAACCTATTTCAATGTAGTTGAAGATTGAACGATCAATTCATGGTTGTTCGCTCAAACTCAACTCCTCCATATTTTCGCGGGAGTCATTGATATTGCAGTCATCCTCTCATCCT